GGGGGAGGATATCCATGGAAGGGGGGGCAAAGTAAGCCCTTAAACTCAGTGAAAAATTTTGAGCTATACTAACCTTAACCTGAATCTCACAGGCTTTTAACTTGTTCTTCCTCTGTTTTGTTTGAAAGATAGCATATGTGCATTTACCATTTTAGTTACACTGTATGGGTGCTTTCATTGTTCTTGGAGCTAATGTTCAGGACCTTAGTTTAAATTTAGAAAGGTTTTGTTGCAGGTATAGTAACTGAATGTTGGGGGCAACAGGATTGGTTGGTTGGTTTGTTTTGTTGGAGTTTTTTGCCCTTATAATATTGAAGTTCTTGTGCTTTGAGTCAGTTTCACTGTTGAGAACAGCTAAAGTTTTCTGTCCTTGCTCCATTGTGGCAAGCTGATATCTCTGTTGGCTTAGGCATGTAATAGTGTTGTTTCCATGCCTTCTGAATCCTTTGCCCTTACCTTCCAGCTCTAATATTTTTTTTCTTTCACGCACCTTGTCTTACAGGTGTGTGTTGGGAAACACTACCATCCTGGCTGAGTTCGCCACAGATGAAGAGGTTAGTCGCTTTCTGGCACAAGCTCAGCCCCCTACACCTGCAGCAACCCCAAGTGCACCCACAGCAGGCTGGCAATCCCTGGAGACAGGACAGAACCAGACAGATCCAGTTGGACCTGCTTTGAATCTCTTTGGTGGGTCAACAGGGCTTGGGCAGTGGAGCAGTGGTGGCGGCGGCAGCAGCAGTGGGAGTGATCTCACTGGCGCTTCGTTGTGGGGTCCCCCAAACTATTCTTCAAGCTTATGGGGGGTCCCAAGCGTAGAGGATCCACACAGAATGGGCAGCCCTGCTCCCTTACTACCTGGAGACCTTCTGGGAGGAGGGTCGGATTCAATCTGAACTTAGAACTTTCAACTCTGACCTCGTGACCTTTTTTGGAACAGCAGCAGCACTAACTTGACCTTTTCGTTTTTTTCAACTTGCAATAAATACATTTATAAAAGGAAAAAAGAAAACGGAGAGAGAAAAAAAGGTGGGTCATTGACAGACTGTCTGAGCACATAGTTGCCTCCCTTATATAACTTCAGTTTTTTTGTTTGGAATATGAATCCAAAAAGAGAACATATCACTCTTGAAATACTTGAATCATGAACGCCAACTTAGAAAGACAATGTGAAGCAAGTACACATACCATTTAAATTTAAACACAAAAATTAAAAAAATTAGTTTCTAGTTTTTCACTTTTTCATGTTATACGGAAGTTGTTGCTAAGAAACATATATACTGAAAAAATAGCTTTTTAACTTTGTTTGCACTGGGTGTGTTTCCGTCCTTAGGTCTACCATGTTGGGTTGGGGTAGGGGAGGGGTTCAAAAGGAAAAAAATGGGGAGGGGGGAGGGGAAGACTTGACGGAGCCTCACTTTAAAAACAAAAAAAATTAAACAAAAAATTAAAAAAAACAAAAAAAAATTTAAAAAAAAAAGGAAAAAAAAAACACAAAACAAAAAACCCAACACTTTGTGATTGGCTGGTTGATAAGTACCAGTGTGTTCTGGCACATGTAACTGCCCACGTGTGCTTGTTTCTGTGTGAGTGCGTGTGCACATGTTCGTGTGTGTGTGCATTTTTTTTCTCTCTCTATATATAAAATCTTGAAACGCTGCATTGCTGATGGTCTACGGGCTGGCTGGCCATCTGCATGTCTTGATTCTGAAAACAAGACAGGCATGGTGGAGTCCCTGAGGCTGAAGCAGAGTCCAGTTGGGCTGGATGAAAATTTGTCAGTAGAGTTTTTAAAATTCATTTTTAGCAGGGTGCTATCTTGAGTCTGCGAATCGTATTGAGTGGGTAGTTGCTTCCTAGACCTTGTTCTAACCCTGTGGTAGAGCAGAACACTGCCATATCCAAAGGATTTGGTGAGAGGGGAGCCAGTGTTGTCTTTTGAGTAGCAGTGTATTTATTTATTTATGTCTGCATGTGGGGGTTTTGTACTGAGTGAACCCTAGAATGTTTGTTATATAATGCAAGCCATTTTTTTTCTTCCAACAAGGGGAAAAGGGGAGGAAAGAAGACATTGCCATTTTTTATGCGGCTAAGACAAATATTTTCTTCAGTGTATCTCAAGATTCAGTACCTTTAAAAAAAGATTAGTGTTTCTTTTCTCCCCCAAACCTATAAATAGGCACCCACATTCATTGCTGAAGAATCCATCAAAAGCTTGAAAGTCCAGCCCAACCAGATTAGCCTTTTAATTGATTTACTGCTTGTATTAAAACTGACAAAAAATAAATTGTGTCAGCAAATTGCTGGCCGGCCTGCCTCATCTCCTGAAAGCACATGCAGCTAACTCCTTTCTTCGTCCTTCATGGTGAGCGTTACCTGTGCCAGGCCTTGGTGTATTACAGCGCCAGACCATCACTGACAGAAACGTTTACTTACGAATGTTCTTAAACCAGTGTGTACTTCAAATGTTTCCTTTTGTTTCTCTGTGTTGTGTTTTTTCCTGTGTATGTGGTTTTGCTTAGGGAGGTATATAACTAGCAAAGACTTTTTTTTTAAAAAAAGTATTGCACCTTTTTGGTTTTGTTTTTACTTTTTCTGTACTGTTGCTTTTTTAATTTCTGTATTTAAGGAAAGGTTTGGCGTTTTTTTTAGCAGCAGTGTAGTAGTACTCTGGGCAGGATAGGGGTGACCTATAATCCACAGTGATAGCCAGTGTGTGTGTGCATGTGTGCGCTGGGAACAAAACTTCTAAGACCTGTTGTTGTGAAAAGAGTTGTAGCAGACTTAAAGGAACATCCCTTGACACAAAGTGGGAAGTCTTTTAGGGGGGTGGGGCAGAGGGAGAAGAGGGAGGAGAGATGCTGGTACTTCCATAAGTGCTAGGACTTCCATGTGGTGTTGTCTAGCCGTTACACTGTCTAACAAAGTGCCGACATTCTGTACCAGCACATACCTGTCCATTCCAGCCCTCAGTGGTAGCAGCGCTTGGGCTTTATTAGCTGGGGGGTAGGATAGGGGGGTCTCTTCAACATTTTCATTGAAGGATATGACAATGTCTAATACATTTAACTCTAAGCATGGGTTGGGTGGGGAGAAGCAAAACCAGATTCAAGTAACATGGGGGGGGAGGGGGGGTGTGTGCACGCACATGCATGTTGTATGTATGCCTGTGTGCTGGGGGTGGGAGGGAAGGTCTAGAGAGTTGCGTGGCTTTTTTAAATTTGCCCTTTCTATGTAAACCCAATGTCACAAGGAAGACTGACTGAGGGAAATGCTGCATATATATACACATGCCTGTAGATTTGTATGCAAAGTGTTAAGTGACAAAAAGTATGAGTAGGTTTGTATTTGTTTAGTAAACTGGAGTGTGCAGCATACTCTGGCCCCTTCTGAGTATACTTTTCTATCATGTCTTCTCCATCCATCCCACCATGCACAAAGAAACAAAATGCTCTCTTCCAACTCCTGTTGGCTAGTGACCCTCGCATGCACTCATCCATAAAGCTTTGTTTCTGCTAGTCTCTGCTTGAAGACCAGCTGTGTTCAGACACGAAGAGCAGGTTCTTAAAAGTCCTGTGCCAGCAGTACTTCCTAGTGAATCACCTTTGGCCTGAGTAAGCCAGTATCTGTTCTGTCACATGATTTGCTATACATGCTGGTTCATTGCTGTTGTGTTCCATGCTCACTTCTCTCTCCCAACCTGCCCTAAGGTCCCTTTTCCTGCACTTTGGGCTAGTTGAGTTCATTGCGATACTACGGTGAAAGCCGGGTGCTAGAGCCCCTCTTGTTTACAAGACATAATGAGGGATTTGAAATATTTAAAAAGAAAAGCTAAATTGTTCTTCCATTGTAAGCTTAAAGGGAAAAAAATTAAAACGTACAAAAAAAAAGACCAAAAAGTGCATATATATATTTTAGATGAAGACTAACTCTGGGAGCATTTAACAGTGTTTTTGTTTTTATTTTAACATTTTATTTTCCTGCTTTAAATTTGCAAGCATTCTCAGGAATTCTAGGGTAGGAAGCCAGTTTTTTGAAGATGGTTTATTTAACCTTATCCTAGATAGATGGCTGTTTCTTGTTGATAAACTTTTACAAGTTCCTGAATCTTCAAAATGTTTGAAAGTTTTTACTTTAAAATAAAAATGCTAAAAAAAAAAAATAAAAAGAAAAAAAGAAAAAATCTCCAAATGTTACTGTCAAGCAGGGGATCAAGAATTTTAAAGACTCTGTATAAATTAAAATACCTTAAGAAAACTTCTCAATATCAGCAACAGGATTTCTTTGTAATCTTAACAAGTTGTGGGAGAAGAAGGGTTATCATTTATAGTGCTTTGTTACTCATTCAGACATGTGTACAGTTGCATGGAAAAGAGAAGTGTGTGAATGGAAATCTATCGCTTTGTTCCCTCTCAGTTGAAACTTAATGAAAATACTCTTCCAAGCACCTTTTTAAAAGCCAAGTATAGTTTAACTGAAGGAGTCCTCAGGAGGACTAGCAGGAAATAAGTGATGGTGCTTCTTTAAACCACTTTCTAAAGAAAACCAGTGCTGACAATGTCCACTAATGAAGTGGTTTTGTTATCCTGCCTTTTTCAGTACTGAAGAAGGGAGGGGAATACGGAAAAACTCCAGTAAGATGTACATCAGAAATCAGCTTTCCTGTTTTCAGCTATTTGGTCAGTTTATTCCTCACTTCTAGATTTGCTGCTTGCTTTTCTTCACCCACCCCACCTCCCAGTCTTTCTGTTTTGTTTTATATGAGGGAAATACCTGTTAAACTCTTCTGTTCACCCTATTGCTGCTGGCTGTTAGGGTCAAGGCTTAAGTCTTGAACTTCAGAATGTGGTGTTGAGATGGCCAACTTTTTGTCTCCCAGCTCTAAAGGTCAGGGGCTTACTCCGCCTGAACTGGCTAGGCTCAAACCACAAAAACCGCGCTAGTGCCTTTTTACATGCACCCACATGCCCTACAGTAGGGGAAGGGAGGGAAGATGAGGCAAAGTGAGGCAGTATAGCCACTTCATGGAAATAATGTACCCATTCTTAAGGAAAAAGAGCATGCTGCATAAGCATGTTGTGCAGTGAGTTACATAACAGTAGTTGAGAACTTTTTATAATTAAAAGAAATCAGATGCCAAATTCCTGTCCTTTTCATGTCAGTTGCCCAGTGTTTTCATGTTGTGCTGCATGTACACACCTGAGTGTATACCTGTGTGTTGAAAATAATGCATCAATAATAATACTGCGCTTTTAAAAAAAAATCCTGCCATGGTCCAGTAGAAGGAGGGTTTATTTAGGGAGTTTGGGATTTTATTTTATATTTTTATTTTACAGACATGATTTTTGAGTGCTTTGCCAGAGGCTGTGTTTTATCAAATCAGCAGTGTCCTAAAAGAGGAAATCATAAGTTTTAGTCAAAAAGAGCCCAGGAGCGTGACAGTCACTTGGAAGCAGACTGTGACTGGCTGTTGAAGGGTTGGCAGCCTGGAGGTTCAGCACTCTGCTGGGTCCAAAGCTATTGTAGTACAACAGTCTGCTCCTTTCTCTAAACATGCAGGCCTGCATACGTTGGTGACTGTCTACTCAGTATAGTTTTCCTAAATTGTTAAAGCAACATTAATCTTACTGGTTTTCAACTACAGCTGACAGGTCAGTTCCTCTCCAGATTGTATGTAGCTAATGATGTTGCTAGTATGGATTAGTCATGGCACTCCCAACCATTGCAAGTGATTTCTGAGCATTGTGCTAACCAGACATATATTCTGGGGACAACTGTTGCTTAATGTTGTAAATACTCTGCTACCATTTGAGCTCATAACAGAAAAAAGTCAGCAGGAATTGATGTTAAGGTACTTCTGGGTTTTTACAAAACTGATCCAGGGAGTGAATCGGTGGCAGCATCTAGTTTTGTCTATTGACAAAGAAGGTAAGGAAGAGAGGCAGAGGAAAGCACGGCTTGGAATAGGCTATGGACATCTCTTTCCAGATAAAAATCAAAAATAATATCTTTCACTGAAAAACACTTCTTACTTTCTCAAGTGACAAACAGAACTCTTCTTATAATTTTGTTCTTATTTTAAGTCCTCCAGGTTATACAGTTTAAACATATATATACTTCACAGGTAGTTTCAGCATTCCTGTTTTTTTCCTGGTTTTGAATCCATCAGTGCTTAATTGATTTAATAAAACAAAACATTTTATCAGTCTTTTAAGCAAGTATCCATTTGTTACCAGCCATTTTTCTTACCCCACTCTGCAGTGGGAATTTTTTAATATGTTTGAGAATTCTTTGCACCATTTGACTATTTCATTTTAGCAGTGACAACAAAGTCTAGCAAGAAAAAAAAAGTGGGGCACAGCTCAGAAACCTGTGTTGAGACCTCTGACATTTACTTTGGAAAGCAGTTTTCATACTGTGTACTTTGGAAGACATGCCATCTTTTCCCAGTGTTTTTGTGCTTTTACCTGGATGCTTGCCCAGCAGTCTTGAGAGTGGGTTTTTTGCTGGTTTGGGGTTTTTTTCCAATCACAGGGTGCCAGGTTTTTCTCACAATTTTTTCATTTTGTTTCATGTTAAGTGGCTTGTGTAATGAACAAGCAAGCCAAGTGTGGTTTTCCTCTGCAATATAAACAGAATGTTTTCAACAAACTGCCTGGGATAATCACCTCAAAGATTACATAACAATTTAATCTTTATATTAAGTTGGCCTTTGTTTTTTGACCATGAAATTTCTAAACATTTATTCCTTAAAACTTTCCCCTTATTCTTTCTTCCTAAAAATGCTGCCACATCTACTGTAGTAGTGCATCCAAACAGTACTGTAGGGCTTTTGGTTGGATTTTTTGCTTTGTTCTTTACTATGTTTACCTCAAGCTTCTAATTTTGTTTGCATATTTTTTCTTGTTGACTTCAAGAGGCATACTGTTTCTATATCTGAAATACCCAAATTTGGCAAAGTCTGGTCTAGGAAATAAGGAGTGATCCTCATGTGAATTAGTCCCACTGACCTTAAATGAGTGAGTACTGCTCTGATAAGGGCTCTTTGTGTAAGTAAACCTTAGCTGGATCAGGGCCAAGGTAGCAGATGAGGACCTGTTGTATTTCCAGTGCAACAAGTGTCTGTGCATATATCACATTCACTGTAAATCTTGTGACCTTAGTATCCAGATTTCTCAAGTGGATTGAAATGCTGTTTTTGTGGTGGAGTTAGCATCTCAGGGTATGAGTCCTGATTAAGAAGTAGTTTTTTTCTTTCTAAAGAGGTAAGGTTCCCCTATCAAGCCGCTTTCTTATCTGTAAATATGCATACATGTATTTGTGGGCAGGAAAGTAATGCCAAGAAAACATAAGTTGAAATGAAATCTAAAAAAAATATAGATCAAACAAATGCTGTTGAAGTGCAACTTTGGTCCTGAGTCTGAAACAACATATGCAGAATCTGTTGGTTTGTCTAAATTGATTTTGCACAAAATACCATTTCAGTTCTCTAGTTTATTTTCTGCTATTTTGCAATGTTAGGAACTGGTACTGTTAGTTAGATCATATCAGTCATTCCTGTGGTGATCAAAATCAAGATGTTTAAAACCCAAACACTCTTCCTTTTCTTTCACCTCCAGTACTAGGCTTTCACCTGTGGCAGAAGGATGTTAACAGTAATAGGGAGAAATATGTAAAGTTTCGCAGTGTAGACAGAGCTGAGTTTCCCTGTTGTCCTGAATTCATATCCAAACCTAAAACACAAAGCAAAAATCATGCTGGAGCAGAGCTTTTGGTTGGGCTAAATGACAGGAGCCTAACTGGAGATTTTTAGCAGCCTTGCTAGTTCATGTCCCTCACAATGTTTTGCGTAAGTGTCCCATCTCTGTAAATACCAGTGTTGCTGAATTTTACCAAAGTTCCCCTGCAGTAGGTAATAGGAAACAGGTCCATTTTGTAGTGACTCACCAAGCAGAGCTTTGTCTACAGTAGAATTCAAGGGTCTGTCTACATTGCTGTTAAAACTGAGTCAGGGTCCTGTTTAAAATATAGCTCTCTATTTTGTGATGTTATGTGAGACTTTAAAGTTTGTGATGTAGTAACTATAGCTTCTAATCCTTATATGAAAAGTGATTTAAGGTTTCATCTGTGCTACAAAAAGCGCCACAGCTCCTGATGGTTTGGAGCCTGTTTTTAAAACTATTGTCAGGCCAAGATAAGCTGCAGCTTCTTCTGTGGCATGCAGCAGACAATGTCCGTTTGCATCCACGGTTTGCGTGCGTGTTGCTTTTCATCGAGCTATGCAGGGAAGTTTTTCTCTAAAAGTCTCCCAGAATCCTGTGCTATATAAGCAAGCTTCTAGCAAATCAAGTGCCCTCTGCAAAGAGCCATTTTTGCCCTGTATGTGTGACAGTTGGGACTGATGACATTCAGCAGTGTTAGGGCTCCTGTTAACTTTGTAGTGAGAAAATGAGTTTTTGACTTGACTCTGACAGCCTTTCTGTAAATGAATACAGAGCACTCCGGGGAGGGAAAAAAAAAAAAAAAAGGGAAGAATGCATCGTGCCAGCCAGCGTTAAGTATTTTTGCAGCAAACATTCTTGACTGGTGGGCAGAGGGGAAGAGAAGAGACTGGAGAAGTTTGCATGGATGCACAATACAAGGAGGCAGTGCTTAGCAAGAAATGTTTCCTTGAGCACTAAATGCCTCCTCTTGGGTATTAGTGTGTGTTGTTGCATTCACAGAACTAACTTCTTAATTTTTTTCATGTTTGGTTGTTTTTTTAATTGAGACAAAGTAGAAGCTTCTTCAGTTTCAGATGAAACACAACAATAAGTGAGTATTTTCTTCATCATTTACTGTTGAGCAGTAAGAGCAGGTTGCACAGCTTGTTAGAATAGCTATTTCAGTAACATGGTTATGATACGTGCTTTCCTTCCCCCCTCTCTCCCTGCCAGATATGGCTTACCCTTTCTATATAAGGCGCTGTGTGGGTTTTTTTGGTTTTTTTGGGGAATGTGTGGAGAAGAAGCAAAACTAAGTGAAAATGCAAGCCAAGGTAGAACAGCCTTACTTTAGGGGGTAGCCTTACAACAGAGCTTTATAGTGAGTGTGCTGTATTCCAAAATATGTAAGCCAAAAACAAAAAAAGCATTCATTTATGCAAAAAAAAATTTAAAAAGAGGTGTTGGAAGATTTCTTTAATACATACCTTCTAAAGGTAGAGTAAGGTCTCACCAAGTGATATGTTATTGTGATACTTCTTGCTGGGTCAGTAG